TTTTTTTTTTCAAAATGTTTTTTAGAAATAAATAGTGAAAATATTTTCGTGCAACTACAGAACAAAGAAAGGTGATGTAGCCTAAGAAACGAGACAACGCAGAAAAGAAGATATACTTTTCTCTCCGAACTGAACTCGAATCAGTGATCTGCCGCTTTCTAGGCAGACACTCTACTAACTGAGCTAAAGAAATATGACGACGTTTTTAGCAAATTGTTCCCTAAATTGTCCTGCTTCTTCAATATTCTCAATGATATAATAATGATAACATATTATATATGTGATCGATTCGACAGTCTCTGAACATACAAACACGAAAACAATATTTTGGCTTTGTCATTCTACTGTTTTTCCGTTGTATGAAGATGCTTTTATTATTATATTTAATCAGGACATATTTTCAACTCCGCGTCATCAAGATTTATACAATACTTTTGTCTTACGTCCATTTAAAACCTAAGATATTTTTGTGAAAATGTGCTTGAAAAGCTAAAAAAAGTTGAAAAAGAGTTTTTCATGTGAATTGAAATCGATTGTGGACTGAAACAAACAAAAGATTTTATCAGTTTTATAATCAAAAAAAATGTGGGCAAAAATCTGTGAATTAATCTGAAAACTTATTTGCTATACAATTATATAAATATTTTTAAAGAATCAGAACAACCTTCAAACTTAAATAATAAATTACAAGCAACACAATAAGTTTAAATAAAGTGTGAATGTAATTAATTTATTTAGACGCTTGAAGCGTTCCTAATTTAAATCAACAAAATTTTAATCAATTTTAACGTTCATTTGACTTCAAAAGTGCAACTAAACAGTAACCAAGGATGTGTATTAAAGTATTTAATATAAAGTAATTTAATTGATTCATTAAAGTATTTTAATGAATGGGAGGAGCGGGCCAGAGTTGAAAACTGAAATAGCTGCCTGGGCCTGTCGCACTCTAGGAAATTTCTGCCTCCCCTAGGCCTGGGGGACAGGGTCTGAACATGCTCAGTCGTCCAAATTTGAGGACATTAGTGGGGGTTCTCACTGGACACTGCCTCCCGAGGGTCCACCTGAAAAGGATGGGCAGGGTGGCCGTTTATGCCTGGAGGAGGACGAAACCAAAGCACTTACTGTGTGAGTGCGAGACGGTTGCTCGCCTGCGACTGTGATGCTTCGGGAGGGGCTTTGAAACCCCGGGGGGGGGGGGGTCTCGCAGCTTGATGTGGCTGAAATACTGCGGATTGTCAGGGGTCTAGGTATAGAGCTAATGTAGGGGGAATGGGAATCACAAAAGATCCTATGGGTCGACATGAGGGAGGCCTAAGGGCCTCGATCCCCGTAGAGAAAAACAAAATAAAAGTATTTTAACGTACATATACTTTCTGATAGACTAAGATCACTGACGATAGATATATTCAAAAATTTATGAATATCTTCTGAAAGGAGCCATTAAATTACCACATACACTAACATAATTTGTTGCAGCAATCGAAAAACTAAATTTTTTTCCGTCATGAATATTTAATGTCCCGATTCGGCAATAAAAAAAACCGCACTTTACACAAAATTTATTTCATCCATTTTTGTTTTAATGCTTCTATTTTGTAGTGTATTTTACGTAACTTATGCTTTTATACAGAAAACAAAAATAAATCAAATGGAAAAAGTTTCAAATTTATTTTAAATGCGAGTAAAAAGCAAAATGGTGAAAATAAAATTTTGAAATTTCTTTGTCAACTTTGCCATATTACAATTGAAACAAATGCTATCGTGACAGATAAGACATAATTTAAGTTTACTATAGCAAGAATGTTTTATTTATCTAAGAACGAAAATAATTTTTGAATACAATGTTTTTGTTTAAATATTCAAAAGTCAAATACATTTAAACAAGTCTATCTTGCACACAAATATGTGATTGATGACAGTAATGTTTACATTAAATTTTTATGAATTTGTAAACATTATTTTTTAAAATTTTAAAATCAGGAATATCTCAAAAACCGACGCATTAGATAAATATTTAAAAATTTTCATATTTTTATATATGTGCATATGTATATACAACAAATTACAACGTTGATTATGCATAAAATGAGATCGAAAATACGATAAGATGGTCTTTTTGCAGAAATTTTAGCAAATCAAACTGCGATGAGTGGATTAAAGTACCTGGGGCACCAGTAAAGCTGACCATCAGTTTGGCAAGTTAATTTTTATTCCTCGGTGCAAAAATGAACACAACGAAATTTTGCAAACGTGAACTTCGCTCTGAATGCACAGTAGCGTATTGCAACAACAGGGACACGCTGGAAAAATCTCAAAAAGTAAGGTCGTTGTGTGACCAAATAAATTTATAAGGCACGATTCTAATGCTATTACACTGCCTAGCCAAATTTTGTTCAAAATTAAAAGGAACGCAGTCACATACTACCAGGAATAATGGTAGTGTAGCTCTGTCGCACAAACAAGCTTTTGATGGATTTGTTTTATATATCTAAACTGTGTAAAACGACAAAATATAGAGAAAATCCCAAGAAAAATTGCCAGGCAATAAATGTGTTTTTGTTATTATTTAAGAAATATATTTTGGTGTTAAATAAAATTTATATTTTATTCGAAGCTTTAGAAAAAAATGTTTCAATAGCATAATAATTCAAAGTAACAATAATTCTTAAGCACATCGACACTATTCTTTTAAAATTTTTCATGGGAGATACGAGTAATATAGACATACGTACAGATGTTTTATATTTAGTACTTTAATGACAATCTTCATTAATTTTAATAATTTTTTTCTTCAATAAAATAATTGCATTGTATACGCATATAAATTTGTATAACAGTTAAGTTCATAGAACATACAAGTGTTTATGATTTCAATTCTGTATAACTAAATTGCTCAGAAGCATATATGTACATACTTATATAAATATAGTTTTAATAGATAGTTGCATAAAATATTTAATTAGACTAAATTATAAGTGGTTGAAGTAAGCATAAATTATGCAGATACAGTAACGTTAAATTAAATTAAAAGACATTTTTTAAAACTATATGAAAAATATATTTTTCAAGTATTCTGGAATTGTTCACTTTCATGTTTTTTTAACTATAATTGCTCTATAATATTTTTAATTAATGTGACATATTACATATGGCTCAGCTTCTTATATATCAAATTTAATTCGCAATTATGCATATACTCGTAAAAACTTGTAAATTTTTTTTTCACACTATAATTATGTAAGAAGTACATGACTTATGACTTAGATAGAAATTGAAAATTTTATTTTTTAAATGAATTAGTTTGGCGTTAATAGTAATTATCGTAAAGTGTACGTCTAATATAAATATTCATGAACTTTTAATAACAAAAATATTCTTGTTGAAAAAATCGAAAATATTTTTAACAAAATAAATAGTGGCTGGGTCTCATTGAGAAATATGTAATCCGCACAATATTATTAAAATTTAATTTACGTAACAATATAACTAAGGTTGTTGCAATCGTATGATTGACTAGTGGAGACTCACTCAGCTTAAATGGGTTCCTTTCAAAATATAAATTATGGAAACTGCAGAATGCACTTCTTCTGGAATTGAAAAAATTTTACTTAAACTTTGGACTCCGCGTCATATATGTTCAATGTTCGTTTTTCACCTAAAATCAACGGATTCTTCGACTCAACGGTCTGGATCTGGGGAACAATAAACCGAAGTATTATATTAAGATTATTATTATTCTTATACTCTATTTATACTCTTTTTAAGTTTCTCTGGGAGGTGGAATATGTAGACCAACCAAATATATCGAAAAAAAAAGTCGCTTAGATAATTTAAATATTATTTGTAGAAGATTTTTTTAAACTCGAAGTTTTAAATTATTTTCTCTATTTCTTAGCATACCTATCCAGCAATGCGAACAGTGCTTAATTACTATGCACTCGTATATGGCAAGTTCGTTACCGAATCAGAGTTGTTATTAATAAAAACTCTCAATATTGTCAGAGGACTTTAATTATTTTGAGCTATTGAAAAAAAAATTACCAATTGTTTTGCGCATGCGTATTATCAACCCGAACATTGAAACGAGAACAGTTTCTATTAACATGAAATTGGAAGTTTAAAATTTTTAAACAATTTACTTTTTACTATTAATTAAATTTAAAGGTAAAAATTTGGATTTTTGAAAAATTGTACATATAGTTTTTATTGTAATTCCGGAATAAAAAATTCCACTTATATTGATGAAATTTCGACAGAATTTTAATTCAAAATAAAAGTGAATAAAAGACTCCATTGAAATCGTTATGGTTTGTAATCACAGAAATATTAATAATTTTTTGAACTTTCCGATAAGAAAAATTAAACGATCGGATTATGTCGTTTATTGATTCACAAGCTACAAAAAATTCCTTATTAAAAGTGTTATATACATATATAACAGAATATTGGAAACTATACTGAAATACAAAGTTTAACATTTGCTAAAAAGACGAAAATTATATGCAACAGGGGCAAATTTCAAAATCTAATCAAAAAAATTTTAATAATTTTAAAAGCAATTTAAGTATTTTTTAAATAATATAAAATAATTTAAAACTTGAGCGGAATTTATATAAAATATTTAGACAATTCGAATCCAACTGTTTTCCAATTAATGCAAAAAATTCGTAAAATATCAATTATATTTTTATACAGTATGAAATATAAATAAAAAAATAATTAAAATTTTTAATAACATTTTCTATTCAACCAACTATCATTACACTGTTGATGGCTTACCATCAATCAACAATACTGAAATTAATGAAAAAAATGAAAAAAATTCCAAAAATACAGAAATAATTCAAATTAATTAAATTTTTTTTTTTATAAATTTCTAACCTCAAAAGAAACCAAATTATTTTGTTTATTTTTAGTTCTTGTAACAAAGTAAGTTTTCCCTTGTTTATTAAACGCTTTTTTTGTTTTCTTCTTTATTTGTTTTTAGTCAATTTTCCCACCTTTCTTCTTCCTTTTAGAGTTGGGATTTAAATCTGCGCATAATTTTTTTTTTATGCCGTTTGTTTCATTTCTTTTTTCTCTGTGTTTATTTTTTGTTTATTTATTTATTTATCCTTTATTTTTTTTTTCTCTGTGAATAAAAAACTTTTACTTCAACTGCTTTGTTTGAAAAGAATTTTCTTATTTTTTATTATTTTTATTTAAATAAAGAATTTTTGTATTTTTTTATTTTTATTTCACTTTTTCACTTACAAAATATCTTCTTATGTGTGTATGATTTTTTGTACATAAATAATTAAAATGCGAACAATTTTTTCCTTTCTTTTATAAAAATAAAAATAATTTTTTTTTTTATATATTTTCCTTTTTATAATTCGCGCACCCGGAAAATTTTCCTTTTCTCAATTCTTGTTTTTCATATATAAAACCAAACTAAAATTAAAAGTGTTGGCAAGATGGACGATAAATCAAAAATTCACTAATAAAGAATTTCTCTCCGTTCGTAGTTATTTATTATTCGTACTTTTTATAATTTGAATTTCATAGAAGACGTCGCAACTAAATAACGTAAGTAAATTCACAGTTAGATTAAGAATAAAACAAAATAAGAATAAAAATTAAAAGAACATAAAAAAATTGTATTAATTTTCCACCCCACTGATATGCCGGTGGTCTGGTTTCTTTTTATTTTTGTTTTTTTTTTCACTTCAAATTTTTTATTTTTTTTTTCTATTTTTCACTTTTTTTATGTATTTATTTTTTCTATATATTTGATTAAAAAATTGAGAAAATTGAAAAACTTTATCCGTTATTAAGAAATTTGAACGTCCGTAATGATTGACGGTCCACGAGAATCTGGATTTTTAAATCGTATTTTCATTCGTTCTTCTCAAATAATTTTAGTAAAATTTTTCTCACAATTTTTTTGTACTCTCCTTTTTTCTCTATTCTGTCTGTAACACTTTTTTTATTTAGGATTTTTTCTGAATTTTTTTGTGATTGTACTGTTATTCTTAATAAAATCACAGAAATAAGCAGTAAGATGCCAAGTTTCATCATCTTTTATGATGATTTTGTATGTGTGCAGATTTTTCTCCATGCAATTTCTCCATATAATACTAGATGTTGCAGAAACATTTTTCATCATGTTTATTTTCATCGTATCTGTGAAATAATATTGCATTATAAACTTTATCAACATTGTGTATGCGTTCATAGAAATTCTTTGCTTATATTTGTTAAACATTATACAGCAATAAAAGTAGCAATGTGCAATTTGCGTAACAACATTTTTTAAGAACATTATTTTAAAACCATTAATAAAGGAGAAGTTGAAAAGGACTAGCAACAACTTGTTTACATTTTCTTTTCTTACTTCTGTGAATAACTGGTCAGTTAATAAAATAGTTTATTCGCGATATTAAAACTGTCAAAAGAAGCCAAAAAATTTAACACATCGTAGAAGATGCTATAGTTCTCATAATTCAGCTTTCCGTGAGTTCAACACTTTTTTTTCATGCACACAGGGGGGGAGGGGGCGAAACATTGATGCAATTTTTTTAATAGACAAATTTATACGATCCTTTCAGCTAAGACCACGTAAAGTAAATTTGATAATTTTTTTTAGGCCGCCTTATTTAATCTCATTTGTAATAAATAGCGGTTTGACCAAACTTGACAAACGTATTCGAGACTGGAGTGAACCAAAGACGTATGCAAATATTTTAATGTATATGGATCATTGATTAACCTTTTTAATCATCGAATTATAATAAGCTCTAAAAGTCAACTTATCGACGAAGATGACAACCAAATTTCGAAGAGAATTGACTTTATTTTTGAACTCCTCAATAGTAAAATATGTAGCAGTAAAAGCAAACAAAATTTTCGTATATAATTAACCAACGTTCAGAAGTAAATTTTTGAGGTTACACCACAAAATTTAACGAACAACAAAAAACCCTCGGTTTTACTGTTGGCTGCACTGAGAACCTCCAAAACTACCAACGACAGGTTTTGAGTTACATGGCATAAATGAAACGATGCGATTTTACCCTGACCAACAAATATGAAGGAAAATCAAATACTTCGAATTTAAATAGACATTATGCGAATTGAATCCTATGCGGGTAATAGATCAAAGGTCTTTGACGAGTCTGTATAAATGACATCGATTTAAGAACCAAAATAAAAGGAAGTACTTGTTGCTATTTTTTTGTAAGTAAATTAATGGTCGTTCAAATTAAATAACTTTCATGTTTTTACTGCATACAAAAAAAAAATCTTTTGATTATTGGAAAATTGTTTTGTATGTACGCAATGGATCGATGAACGAACCTGCAGATCTTATGATTGATTGAGATTTGAGGCTATAATATATTTTGGCAACATATATTTTGTAATTATTTAAAATTTCGCAGCTACATACATACATTTTTACTCATCTGACATAATTCATAACTACTTTAGGGTAAAAATAATTAGACTCCAGACGATTATATACTTTTATTCCAAATTCTACCTTAAATTGTATGCTTTGTTCTATATATACATATATAAAGCTTACAATTGGGTCATTCACATAAAATTTTTTATTTTTTGTTTATTTCATAATTATTTTCCTTTTTCTCCCAATATTAACACCATATAATAATATTTATTCTAACACTCATTCACCTTACTTCCATATTGAAAACCTTGAGACAATTTTCTCCACATCTATATGCAAAATTTCTTTTACACCATCTTTGTACACATATTACACATATACAGACATATACAAATTTGCATAACATCATAATGAATTTCTATTTTATTTTTTCCACCTCTTACACCTACAACAAAATTAAATTCAAAAATTTTTTTTCTTTATTTTAATTCTAGACATCCCGCACAAATCTCATCTTAAAGGATAACAAAACATTTAAATCTCAAAGGCAAATAAATTTTATATTTCTAAAATATTAATATAATAAAAATGAGATGGAAAAAAAACAAGAGATGTTAAAAAATTTAGTAGTACTAGTTATTACCAACATTATCCTGTTAAATTTAGGACATTTAAAAAAATTAAATCCTGTTTTCTTTTTCTTTCTTGCAATCGTACAAACATTCTATAGAAGAGAACAGAGTAGAAGCGATTCCAATGAGAATATTTAAATGACAAAGAAAAAATATAAAAGTAAAAGACTGAAATTTTTTTTATATTACAAAAAGCAACTTACTATATTGCTTTTACAATAACAACAACAACTTTTGAAAATAGAGCGAAATTTTAAAGCTAAAAAAAAAACAGAACGCAAGAAGAAAACAGGTCAAAAACCTCCACATATTAAAAGCATAGAAAATATACATACAACAATACATAAACAACAAACATATGCTGCATATGAGGTGTGCACATATGTGTGTACTGTTTAATGTACGTATATAAATATATTTAAATTTTTTTTCTTGTTTTATAAATAAAACTAGAAAAAGTGGCTAAAATAAAACATATGTATGTGTGCAGTAAAAACTTAACTTTTTGTGTTTTCGAGACTAAAATAAAAAACTATGAGATAAAAATACGCACAAATTATATACATACAATAAATATATACGTATGTATATTGGATTATAATGTTATTCTGGCAGGATAACCGATTAAAAAATAGTGTTTAAATTTTTCTTAAGTTTTTTTTGTAGGTAGGATCCTTAATTTATGAAAATAAGGAAATTCTTAAAAACAAAAGGGTTAATAGTCGAGCCTGGCGATTTGCTAGGGTGATCTTTATATCCAAGAAGGAAAGAAGAGACATGGTGCCGAAGTCTGTCAGACCGATTAGCCTCACATTGTTTTTATTGAAAACGATGGAGAAAATAGTAAAGAACTGTGTCCGGACTAGAATGCTGGTAAGGAGGCCGCTGAGCGATTATCAAAATGCGTTTTAGGCGGGGAGTAGCCTTCACTAGGAGAAAAAAATTTCCCATTTTATCTCCCTACCTTCGTAAAGAGAAAATCGGAGATCAAATATTTGGCACTGGAATTTGATCCCAAGCTTCTTCAGTAAAGTCACGAGGAAGCTGTATATATACGGGTTACGCGGGCACTTATGTTTTATAGGGCCATCTTGAGAAGGTCGTGGGACTGGTACTCATCTGTCATGTTGTTGATGTATACTGTGATGGTCGCAACGCTTCTGATAGTTTCAAAAAGGAATCGTAGAATAGATTTTGTTTATAAACACTTGCACTTTGGAACAGCATTTCAAAAATTAATAGCCCATTGAATTAAAACCTTAAAATTTTCTTTCTTCTTCAACCCTAATCACCCTGTATTAAATGTTATACAAAATGTGAAATTAAATAATACCTACGTATAAATAAAAAAAGACACAATTAGGTCTACACATAATCTTCGAATACATTAAACGGCTGGCTTTAAAAATAAAATAATAAGTGCTATAGGTGAACCGTTATATATAAATTATATTTTATTTTCTCTTTTTACAATATTACTCGTTTTTTTATTCTCTTCATAACGATGAAAATTATTTTCCCATAAGGATTAAAGCATTTTACTATTCAGTTGTACCCAGATATACAAATATAACTGTAAATACACGATATAAATTATTATGAGAAGGAAAACAAAAAATATATTTTTATTCCATATTGGATGCACATATACACACACATTACACACACATTTAAAATAGAAGTAGTTTTTGCAGTTTAAGTTACGAAAAAAATCACCAAAGATAATATTCGTGTTTCCTTCAAAACTCTTTAATGGAAATTAAATTTAATCCTAAAAAAAGAAGAAGAGAACTAGAATTAAAATGAAAAACTCTTTTCAATTTTTTGTTTTTTCGAAAATTATTTTAAAATGGTTACACATGGCAACCTTTAAAATTTCTGCACAAAATAAAGTAAGTAAGCTACTTAAGCTACATCTAATTAGTAATAAAGATACCAACACCAATGTTAAACCTGTAACGTATAACAACATCCATAGTTATTTTACAAGAACTTCAGGCAATATAAGGGTGACATCAACTAGAAGAAAGTTGAATAATTTAGATGCAATATACGTATAACATAGCTTTTAAAAGTTGTAATGAATTAATGAGCCTAAAAATTAATAAATAAATTTTATGAAAATAAATTATAGTACTCGTAAACGCAATTATAGATTTATATTTTGAATATTAAAAAATATTGTATAAGTTTTGATATTCACAAAATTTCAAACACTCTGAACGAACGATTTGGCACGAGCCTGATCGTGGATTTCGCTTTTTTACTCAATTTTTATTCAGTTTCAAATCAAAATTCTCAGTATTTTCTAATAGATGTTTTAGTTTTCCAATAAGATTACTAATTTTTTCAATTGGATTTTTGTATTTTTTCTCAAATTATCGACTGGACGTCTTACTATCAAAAATGAAGTGAATAAATTTTGTATGCATTTTAGAAAAAAACGAGATACGCAACACCAAATAATTTTTCTCACTCGAAAATTACATTATACAAGTATATGATAGTTACTCATTTTCTTCTCACTTTCCGAGTAAAATAGCGAGATAGATGATAAGACCCTAAATAAAATTTAAATTTAACGCAACTGGTATTTTGTTTACAAATTTACATAAAATTTTGAAACTGTACCTACCCTAACATCTGACCTAATGTATGTGCATGATCTATATTCATAATAATATCAAACTTTACTCAATCATTTTTTCACTCATTCCCATATGGAATAAGCAAGTTAAATGTTAAAGTTTATTGTTTAGGCAAAATGTATGCAACCGTAAACTGTTCATAGAAACAAAACAAAAGGAAAATTAATTTAACCTATAACATAAAAATT